TACTGCCCTGTAGGGGGAGTTAGAGAGCTCAGGACTCAGGAAGCTGCCTCCCCTTTTCACCACTGCTCTTCACTGCACTGTCCTGATTGAGATCCTGTTGTACTGGTGTACATTCAGCAAAGCAGGCTATCGGTCAGATCACAGCCTTTCTCAACCAGGATGCCATGGCACCCCCCTGAGGACCTCAGGCAGCACCCCAGTTAAGAAAGAGTAGAGTATAAGAAATGGTGCAAAACAAATGGTGTAGAACAAACTGAATTAAATGTTTACATATTGTTTAAATATCAATTATTTAGTGTCGAGTGGGAGTTTCTGCCATATTTCAGGTAGCCATTAAACATTTGCCTTGTCGGTACATTTTCCATGTTTTGTAAGTAAAAAAAGTTGGGTTGGCAGCCCTGGAGCAGTAGATGGAGTTTCCTGTCAGGTGGGGGTGGGAGCTGTTAGGTAAGCTGTACAGATCCCCATCATTTCTAATGGTGGCCCTGCCTATGAGCACCGTTTTTTGTTAAAGTATCAGTCACTTTAATAACTTAACCCTTGCCTCATTTAATTCTTAATGGACCTTCCATTAATCCTTATCCTAAATTTAACCCTAAAACTGAAAGTACATAGACTAATTCCTGACCCTTACAATAAAGCAATGTAGCCCCTAAATTAGCCTCTAACACTCAACTTAGCATCCCTTTGCCCATCCCCCATCCTATTGCTGGGAGCAAACTATATGCACCTGACTGCAGGGACTTTATATATTTGATCTGTTTGATAATCATTTTTTGGTTGAGTCATCTCTTTGGTCGTACATTGGTTTCAGTGTGCTGTACAGAGGACTGTCAGTGAGGGGTTAAATATGTGACTTATGGAAAAAAATGTAATCACCAGTGTAGACCTAATGTTGGTTTAAGTTTCAAGCATCTAGCTCATATTAACAAATAGTATGTAAAGGGCTTTGCTGCACATTGTGGATAGTATAGAGATTCAATATTTATTACAGATTTGGATTTTGGTGTTGAACAGATAAAAAAAACCTGTGAGAGAGGGAGACATGCATCGCATTCTAAATGGTGAATGCTTGTGAGCTATTATGAAATGAGGTGTTCAATATGTGACTTTACATGTCCTTATTTCTCACGTGAGGTTCGCTGGCACTTGCACTGACTCATATGCTAGTGTATATATAATATTTTCAAAATAGATAGTGCCGCGCTCCCATGTACCAATATGTATATCTTATACTTTCAAAGTGCTAATGAATAGCTTTCAAGATACTGCATGTATCAAACAATTATTACTAGTGACTCAAAACATCATTGTGAATATTAATCTTCATGCAAGTGACATTAATAACTGATAATCCTAAGGTGATAGTGCCTATTAAAGTACAGTGATATACAAATCAGAAATACTCCTCTATTCTACTGTGATCCTTATATTTATATTGTGCAAACACATATATATTATGTGCACGTGCTTATGATATATTCAATAAAAAAAAAAAAAAAAAAAAAAAAAAAAAAAAAAAAAAAAAAAAAAAGTCTTTCAAAATAAATGTGCAGGTGGATTCTTGGTTCCCTCTCGCCGAGTGCTTAATGGTCTCCCTATGTGCTCACCTCTATATTTGCCTGAATAAATCCAGGCAAATACACTTTTTATCCTTCCAGGATAGATGGGATGGAATGATGCTCTTGAATTATCTCAGAAGGTGGATGTGGATTTATATTTGTTCTCCTGTAGCTGCTCATGAGTGGGTATACTGACCATCTCTCTGAGGATCTCCCAATTCCCTCCTCCTGGGGCTGTTTCCTTTTTCCAGTCCTCCTTATATCAGCTCAAAGGGTGTTGTTCAATTGAGAAAGGAAGACAAACAGACCATAGTGTCTTATCCTTGTGCAAAAAGGGGGTTTATTGCTGCCAGTTGCACAGTAGTATACAATTGTAGTCCAGCATAAAATGTGCTCTGCCTCTGTTCCTGCAGTGCTGTCTACCTGTGTCTGTATTCAGATCACCGAGCCTCTCCAGTGCAATGTCGTGACGTCAGAGCCCCTCCCCTACGCGTATCGTCACCAGGTGACGATACGCGTAGGGGAGGGGCTCTGACGTCACGACATTGCACTGGAGAGGCTCGGTGATCTGAATACAGACACAGGTAGACAGCACTGCAGGAACAGAGGCAGAGCACATTTATGCTGGACTACAATTGTATACTACTGTGCAACTGGCAGCAATAAACCCCCTTTTTGCACAAGGATAAGACACTATGGTCTGTTTGTCTTCCTTTCTCAATTGAACAACACCCTTTGAGCTGATATAAGAGGACTGGAAAAGGAAACAGCCCCAGGAGGGGAATTGGGGAGATCCTCAGAGAGATGGTCAGTATACCCACTCATGAGCAGCTACAGGAGAACAAATATAAATCCACATCCACCTTCTGAGATAATTCAAGAGCATCATTCCATCCCATCTATCCTGGAAGGATAAAAAGTGTATTTGCCTGGATTTATTCAGGCAAATATAGAGGTGAGCACATAGGGAGACCATTAAGCACTCGGCGAGAGGGAACCAAGAATCCACCTGCACATTTATTTTTGAAAGACTTTTTTTTTTTTTTTTTTTTTTTTTTTTTTTTTTTTATTGAATATATCATAAGCACGTGCACATAATATATATGTGTTTGCACAATATAATTTAAGGATCACAGTAGAATAGAGGAGTATTTCTGATTTGTATATCACTGTACTTTAATAGGCACTATCACCTTAGGATTATCAGTTAGGTTAATGTCACTTGCATGAAGATTAATATTCACAATGATGTTTTGAGTCACTAGTAATAATTGTTTGATACATGCAGTATCTTGAAAGCTATTCATTAGCACTTTGAAAGTATAAGATATACATATTGGTACATGGGAGCGCGGCACTATCTATTTTGAAAATGCATCGCATTCTGCTCCAGCGTGAAGTGTGGTAGATTCATACCCTTAATATTAGAATTCCATGTGGCTTAAATAATAGAATAGATATCAAACTCTTTTTAAGGCTAGGTTCACACCTATGCAGTTTGCATTTGATCTGTTTCTGGAGTGCTTTTTGCGGTGCATTTTGCGTTTTTACACATGCGTTTTTGCTGGGTTTTTTATGCATTTTGTGTTTTTCTTTTTCAACTTGTTGCTGTGCAGATTAAAAAACAAAACACATCAAAAACTCACTACATGCTATTCTGCAGCATCTCTATTGAGAAGTCTATAGAACCAAAAACGCAACGTTTTGCTTTTAAAAAGTCCCTGACGCTTTCCAAAAACCGCACCGGTGAAAATGCAGAGATGTAAACCTGTCCCATAGGAAATCATATTAAATGGACTGCTGTGTGTTTCTGCAAAATGCAAAGGAAAGTGCATAGGTGTGAACCTAGACTAAAATAGTCTGAATATGCATAGATTTCCCCTTTTTTTCCTTCTTTCAAATTATCTAATTTTTTCATCTTTAGAAAATGTTTATATAATGATGCTACTCAGGGAACTATATATATGTTTTAGATCATATCAGACTTTGTATGTATTGCCATTTTCCTCAACTTTTTCTCATTTCCAAGTGATATTAATCAATGTGATTGCTTTTATTTAATGCATGTAACACCTGCATGTGGTGGACTAGACTACTATATATTTTTCTGCTTCATTTAAATTTTGGATGCTGTGAAGAAGGCTTATTAAGCCGAAACGCATTGTATTTTACATTGTACCTGCATTTTTTGATAACCAATAAAAATATTCATAAGAAGTGAACGAGTTGCCGGCTACTACCTTGGAAGTTACTAGCTCCTTAATAGGAAGCAGCTTCCTATGGTGATACTAAGAAGAGGAGGATCCCACAGCGCCAGTTGAGGACCCCAAGAACAGGATACAATTCCATAGAGCAGGTAAATATAACATGTTTATTATTTTCATTTTAAAAAATCAGATTTACAAACACTTTAAATCTTGCCTAGAGATGGGCTTTAAAAACGAGAGTGGGAATGAGCAGTACAATTTCTTGCTATGTAACAGTTTCATTGTTAATGCATATCTTGGCACTGACTTTATGTGATGAAGCATTGCAGCATTTTAATCTACATTGTTTTCATAAGTTGTTGCAGAGGGATAGAAGTTCTAATATACTGTGGTTAACATGAATGAGTAGGTCTCAAGAGCCTGTTTCCTTGTCTGCACCTGTGCATCCTTCGCTTGTTGGAGAGACCACCCACAACAAACTTAACCAAATCTGTTCTACAATGGAAGACGTGACTGAGCACTGTACACAGCGGTCATTAGTGCTTGTTACAAAACTTTTCACTAAGTAAATGAACTGTGTAACTATTAATCAGACTCTTCCAAAAGCTCACCTTCCACTATTCAATAATATCTAGTAGTAGTTAAAATCAACTGGCTTTGTTTGTTACAGTGAAGACTTGTTGTTGATTATCCAGAATAGGGATTTGGTCTGAATCCAGTTCGAAGGAACCCATGGGAAGTTGTCACATGATCCCAATCAGCTGCAGCTGGGGCATTCCCCAGTCCACAGCTGCACATATATAGGTGGATATGCTTGTGACTTCATTGACTTAATATGGCTCCATGGCCATATTTGGTCAAGGTCATTCGACTGAACCCAGCTCTTCCATAATCCAGAACACTTTTTTGATTCTAATGAATGTCAGGAACATACCCCAGCATTTACATCCCATATGGGTAACTCATTTCCCTTAACCCAATCACCATGGAATGTGAGATGTCGAGTGTCTCAAGAACAGGATGAGAAGTGTGGAAATTTGTGAAATCACATTTTTCTGATTATAATTCCATAATTCCATATCTGAGACAGGTGTTTTTGATTACTCTTTTAACGCCCATGTAACTCATACACTCTATTGCCAAAAGTATTGGGACACCCCCTCAAAATCATTGGATTCAGGTGTTCCAATCACCTCCATGGCCACAGATGTAAAAAATCAAGCACCTAGACATGCAGACTGCTTCTACATTTGTGAAAGAATGGGTCCCTCTCAGGAGCTCAGTGAATTCAAGCGTGGTACCGTGATAGGTCGCCACCTGTGCAATAAGTCCATCTGTGAAATGTCCTTGCCACTAAATATTCCACAGTCAACTGTTAGTGGTATAATAACAGAGTGGAAGCAACTGGGAACAACAGCAACTCAGCCACAAAGTGGTAGGCCATGTAAAATGACAGAGCAGGGTCAGCCCATGCTGAAGCACACTGTCTGCAGAGTTAGCTAAAGACCTCTAAACTTCATGTAGCCTTCAGATTAGCACAACAACAGTGTATAAAGAACTTCATGGAATGGGTTTCCATGACCGAGCAGCTGCATCCAAGCCTTATATATCCAAGTACAATTCAAAGCGTCGGATGAAGTGGTGTAAAGCACACCGCCACTGGACTCTAGAGCAGTGAAAACATGTTCTCTGGAGTGACGAATCATGCTTCTCTGTCTGGAAATCTAATAGACTTGTCTGGGTTTGGTGGTTGCCAGGAGAACGGTACTTGCTTGACTGCATTGTGCCAAGTGTAAAGTTTGGTGGAGGGAAATTATGGTGTGGGATTGTTTTTTCAGGGGTTGTGCTTGGCCTCTTAGTTCCAGTGAAGAGAACTTTTAAGGCGTCAGCATACCAAGACATTTTGGACAATTTCATGCCCTCAACTTTGTGGGAACAGTTTGGGGATGGCCCCTTCCTGTTCCAAAATGACTGCGCACCATTGCACAAACCAAGGTCCATGGATGTGAGTTTGGGGTGGAGGAACTTGACTGACCTGCACAGAGTCCTGACCTCAACCCAATAGGACACCTTGGGGATGCATTAGTGTGGAGACTGAGAGCCAGACCTTCTCGTCCGACATCAGTGCCTGACCTCACAAATGCGCTTCTGGAAGAATGGTTAAACATTCCCAAAGACACACTCCTAAACCTTGTGGACAGCCTTCCCAGAAGAGTTGAAGCTGTCATAACTGTAAAGGGTGAGCAAGCTCAATATTGAATCCTATGGACTAAGGCTGGGATGCCATTAAACTTCATGTGCGTGTAAAGGCAGGCGTCCCAATACTTTTGGCAATATAGTGTACGTACAGAGGTAAAGAGGCTGGGCTTTAATGCTCATACAATACACATATGCATCCATGGACATCCAGGAACTCTGTACTCACTACTCACTCCCAGCACAGTGCTTGACTTGTCGTAGACAACTTTTGGCCTCTAGTAGTGATCAGGATCCAGATGGACTGGCTCAAATTCATGTGAACACTGTGACTGCCAGTCTAATGACTTAGCACCACAAAATGATTTGACTCTATTTTTTTCAAAAAAGTGTGGTACTGGGAAATGGGAGGAGACAAGAAGTGACTCTGAAGGTGGAGTTCCTGCACCTATTCTCTGAGAAAAAAAAGTCCTTTTTATCACTAAAAGGTCTGGTGTCTATTTCCTGATACTAATCCACAGTCAAGTTAAAGGTATCTACATTTGTGTTCTATAAGTGTGTGAAGTAGCTTTTACTCAAACAGGCTCCTTTGGAGGTAGAGTTACATGCACATGGCTTCATTTTGGGTAGGCAAATGTACAGTGCACCTGAGGGCAGCCGGTGTTGCATGCTTTCTCGGGAAAGACACCTCAAAATGGGGGCTGCCCCTGGAAAATGGGGGCATAAGGTAACCATACTGTATATTCTCACATATTTTTAAAAATAAATTAATGGAGCCTTCATCACTAAAAGTTTGTGATTATTGATTTCCAGCTCTCCTCAGTCTGATTACCAATCAGCACATTACAGTCTGTGGCTATTATACTGTCTCACAAAGACATGGCAATGATTTTCTGAGCTTACCTATTTTACACCTTTTTGTTTGAGCTGGGGAAAAGCAAAACACAAAGTTCAGTAAAATATAATAATAATTATTATACAGGATTTATATAGTGCCAACAGCTTGCACAGCACTTTATAATCTGTAAGAATATTTGCTTATCAGTGTGTTTGGTTTCTGCATGCATTGCTAAGCAGAAAAGCTACTGAGGGATCATGGGATTTCAGGGTGCTAAACCCTTAAATACCTGCATTTTAGTCCTTGTGCTGTGAACAAGTAGAGTGTAGGAGGAGCTGAGCAGTTTAGCAAAAGACAGCTGGGCAGTGCTTACACCGCTAAATCTACAAAGAGCTGTTTGTTCTCATCCCACAATAAGAAATTCAGAGCATTTCTTTCAGATCAACAGGAAATCTATAATTGTAAGGTCTTAAAGGGATAAAACATGGGAAATGTGAAGCATGCATTGCAGAGATGTTTTTTAATACTGCCTTGGCATACGCTTTAAGACTTTAAAACAAAAAATAAGGTGACATTGCCCCAAAAGCAAAGTTTCCTTTTAAGAGTTTTTGTTTGCACTTGCACATTTTTTCTATTGCTATCTACTGCCATCATCATGAGTTTGCCAGTGACTAAAAATAAGGGGTTAAATGCAAGTCATCACACTTGCATGCTACACAGAATAAGCCTGCTATGAGAAAACAGGAAGCATATGCCTTATAAAAAGTCTAAAACGTATGAAACAGGATATAGCTAGAGGTACAATCGTTAGGAGCTAAAATCTGCTCTATGCTCCCATTCTCTTCAACTTGTAAATCCCATGTTTTGGCTCTTTGTTTTTTTCCTTAAGAGACTGTGGTTTGTTATTACGAACTATGTTAAATATATGGCTGCTAAATTCCTCTCTGTTAAAAAATCTTGTAAGATGGGCAGTTTACAACGCATAATAGCTGCCATATGTTAAATGAATTTCATGGTTCAAGAATGCACTTTAGCCGTCCTTCCTCCGCATGCTTCTAGAACCCCCTTACCCGTAATAATGACTTGAGGTTTCTAACATGTTCTATCAGAGCAAAATAAGATTTTCATCTTTCCATCATACAGAGAATACAACATTATATTTACTGCTAATGGTTTTCTTGATTGCCTCTTAACATGGGAATCAGACGGTTTGGGGCTGATTGGTATACAGAATTCGAAATTTGATCGTGGTAGTTAGGAGTACTAGGAATTTTCTCTTGCCCATTAATGTTGACCTCAGACACGTCAACAAATCGTGAGGCTATGTACACCGCTTTCATCGAGGGCGTTCAAATTTAGCCCAGTCAGGGACAAAATGGCTTCTATTTCGCTAAGTGATGGCATTCTCATTTGCTCCTTTGCCTTCAGGATGAAAGATGACATTTATTTTCCTCCAACCAACTATGCTATACGATGACTTCAGCAGGAGCTTGCATACAAAGTTGGCATCTCCAATTAGCAACCATGGATAAATAAATTTAAAATTAGAACAACTGAGTTGTAAGTAAACTTTCCGAACGCTGCATAATTAGAGACCCATACCCACAAATAGTCAATCATTATATAATATTTCTTCATAGATTTTTTGAAGTCACAGAGTTTCTAAACCACTTCCTAAGTAAATCTTTCATTCAGGAGGTTCTCCATTAAAATTATTTGTGCAAATTACTACCATTCTAGTCTTTCCCAGTTGTAGAGGATTTGGCTTTTCATTACATGGTCACTGCATGAGATGTTTGAGAGCTGGCGCCAAGTTCAGATAAGCCAGTGAGTGTTGGAACATTCCTAGAGCCAAAATTTGAAGACATTTAATCACAGACAGCATCTACCATCCTCAAGAATGTGCATTTGTAGCCGCACAATTCCATATAGCTTGTATAAAGTGTAACATTTTGCAATTAAGTATTTACGATTTTTTTTCATCTGTATAGGCTTAAATAAGAAACAAACATAATTTTTAAAAGTAGTCTACTACCACAGTTAGATTTTGCTGCCCTAAGTTTGGGTTGGAGGACCTCTGGCTACTCTTGGCCCTGGAGACAAACCTAGCTGTACAACTTGGGTGCAAATAGTGTCACAGCAAAACAAGAGGAAAAAACTTGGAAGGATCAGCGAACAACTACAGTATGAAAAAAATTGACAAATTCTCCAGCTCTCAGCATCCAAATGGTGCCACAGTAATCCTCAATCAATGCATCCCTCCACAGATAGTGGAATCTTGACAGAAAACTGTAAAAACAGACAAGAGGATGCAAAATCATAGTGCATTACCAAAACCTTTATTAAAAAACAAATAATGAAAACATACTTACAAAAGTATAGGAAAGACAAATGTTGTCCTAAATCAGCCACGAGACAGCATTAACAGGCCTGACTCTAGAATAGGCAGGCTTACGCATTTCAGAGGATGTGCCCCCTTCCTTATATCAATGGCCACGAGAACTCAAAGGGAGACAATAGTAGAAAAGCCTTTTCCATTTGCTATTGCATAGCTCTGAATTGTCTAGCTGAAAAAAGACAAAAGTCCATCCAGTTCAACCATAAAAAAAAAAAAATTATAATCCTATACCCACAGTTGATCCAGAGGAAGGCAAAAAAAACCAGCAAAGCATGATGCAATTTGCTCCTGCAGGGGAAAAAATTCCTTCCTGATCCCCTGAGAGGCAATTGGATATTCCCTGGATCAACTTTAACTATAAATAGTTGCCAGTTATATTCTTTGTATCCAAGAAAGAATCCAGACCTTTTTTAAAGCAATCTACTGAGCTGGCCAGAACCAACTCTTGAGGGAGTCTAATCCACATTTTCATAGCTCTTACTGTGAAGAAACCTTTCTGTGTTTGGAGATTACATTTCTCTTCCTCCAAATGTAAAGAGTGCCCCTTGTCCTCTGTGATGACCTCAGGGTGAAGAACTCTACACCGAGTTCACTATATGAACCACTGTTGTATTTATACATGTTGATCATATCCCCCCTTAATCTCCTCCTCTCCAGAGAGAATAAATTCAGTTCCTCTAATCTTTCCTCATAGCTGATCTCCTCCATGCCTCTTATCAGTTTGGTTGCCCTTCTCTGTACTTTCTCCAGTTTCCCAATGTTTTTTTGTGAATTGGTGCCCAAAACTGAACTGCATATTCCAGATGAGGTATACTAATGATTTGTACAGGAGTAATATGATCTCTCTCTCTCTGGAGTCTATACATCTTTTAATACAACAGAGGATTTTGCTCGCTTTAGAAACCGCAGCTTGGCATTGCATGCCATTATTAAGCTTGTGATCTACCGGAACTCCCAGATCCTTCTCCACCATTGTACCCCCAGTTGTACCCCCCCTAGTATGTATGATGCATGCATATTTTTAGCCCCCAAGTGCATAACCTTACATTTATCAACATTAAACCTCATTTGCCACATAGTTGCCCATTTAAATAGTGCATTGAGGTCGGCTTGTAATTTGGAGACATCCTGTAAGGACGTTATTCCACTACATAGCTTGGTGTCATCTGCAAAGACTGAAATGGAATTTTGAATCCCAGAACCTATATCATTTGTAAATATATTAAAAAGTAATGGTCCCAACACTGAACCTTGGGGTACACCACTGACAACCCTAGACCATTCAGAGTATGAATCATTAACCACTAACCACTACTCTCTGAATATGATCTTTTAGCCAGTTTTCTATCCATTTACATACAGATTTTTCCAAGCTTGCAGACTTTACCTTACACATTAGCCATGTGTGGGGAACTGTATCAAATGCTTTTGCAAAATCCAAGTATACCATGTCCACCACCCCTCTGTCCAAGGTTTTGCTCACCTC